TGGGTCTAATAAGTTAGTCCTGTTGGGTCTAATAAGTTAGTCCTGTTGGGTCTTCAGAGTCCAGGAACCTGAGCCGTGTGAACCTGTTTCAGTGTCAGAGTGAGTACCAGAAGAGCTACGGGAGTTCCCGGTCCAGAAGTGTGTCGCCTCAGCGCTGCGCCCCATTGGCGGGCCTTCGCTCCGACCTGATGGGTAAGGATCTGGAGGAGAGAGTTTCCTCGTCAGATCCAGACAAGGTTTAGTCTTAAACCGTCTCACCGTAAAGAACCAGAACCTCACACGAGGTCTCTTCAGTAACTCTTTATCATCTGTAGGGTTCAGCAGGGAGCCTGGTCTACAGAGGAGGAAGAGAACCGGACCACTGGCCCGGTCCTGCAGTTCTCTGCTCTTCCCTCCAGATGATCCAGCTGTTGGAGCTGTCAGGAGAGCACCCCCTGCTGGTAGGACAGAAAAACTCCTCCAACTTGTCTTTCTGCATCTTAAACTGTTATGAATTTATTTTCCCAGTGTCTAGAAGCCGCTCAGCCCACAGGAAGGGCTCCTCACAGAACCAGAAGACACCTACGCCTCCTGAAACTCCAGCAGGACCTCGACCTGCTGCAGACCCAGAACCTCCGGAGACCCCAGATCCTGAATCTGCAGATGGAAAATCTGGTAACTGCTACAGAACTCAGGCTTGTCTCATCCTTCATCTTCTCTTAGACTTACAGCTGTTCTGTCTCGACAGCGAAGCTCCGCCCCTCTGAGCCTGTTAGCCAATCACTGGCCAGGCCTGCAGCAGGAACTTCTCCAGGTGATCAGCAGCCGTCGGAGAACAAGGTGAGGTGCCTGAAACCCGTGGCTGCGACAGAGCAGCAGCAGGACTTTATCGTGTTCTCGTGTTGCAGGTTGAACAGGTGCTGCGGTGGAGGGCGGGGCTTAGGTCAGCAGGTCACAGGTCAGAGTACCACAGACAGTTCAGCTGGAAGAAGCCTGGACCTGCATCGCCTCTACTGACTGCAGAGCTGGTGAGCCTCACCTCTGAGAAATAAACCTTTACCTGATGGGTTTAGTTTGTCTTTTTAAAGATGAATTAAAGCTCCAGTAAAATAAAAACTCAGAGTTGTTCAGTAAACTGAGCAGCAGGGGGCAGCGTTTAATCTCCAACATGAACCAGATAAAAACTGAAAACTATAAGACAAACTGAAGAACCTGATAAACATTTCTTCAGCTCTGTGATCAGTTATTAAATTAAACCATAGGACGGACGATTCCAGATGTTTTCAGGCGCCAGATGTTTGAGCTGCAGTTCCACTGAGCGACCACCAGGGGGCAGCAGCTCAGTCTGACGATGTAATCCCGCAGGTGCTGAACTCCAGCAGGTCCGTGCCGCCCTTCAAGGCAAACCCGGTTTTGATGGAAACTGAATATAGGCGGAGCTTCAGGGGTCTGGTCCCGCCCACTGGGCCGCGCCTTCGGAAGCATCTGGAATACGAGAGAGTCCCGCTGTTCCACACGCAGGTGAACACACAACACAAACTTTTTATAGAAAAATTTACAAAAAAAAGATTAAGTTTAGTCAAATTTTAAGTAAAAAAAAGCACAAATAAATAATTTAAAAACAATTATTTTTTATGTGAACATAACCCTGTGAAAATGATGTCATAGCCCCGCCTCTCATCTAAAACACAAAAGGCGCCATCTTACCGTTTGCTTCCAATCTCCTGACCTTTAGATTCATACGGAGAAGAGGGCGGAGTCACATAAGCCCCATCCAAAACAGGAACCCCCTCAAGGTGAAAACAACAAGCCACAGTCGCCCCTGAAGGACACGCCCCATCCTCAGGTGCAGAGGAGACCCAGGTGTGTTTGTCGCCTTTTAAGTTTTATAAACTTTTTACAAGTTCATGAATTAATTTTTAAAATCTGGTGTGTGTTAGGRTGTTGACAGAGTATCAGTCCAGCTTTCGTTCTCGTCTCTGCAGGAACTCAGGAGGCGGAGCTACAGATGCTGTCACTCAGCAGGTTAGATCTTTATTCTCTTACAGAACAAACAACCTGCAGCAGCTTAAAAACACGAACACACCTCTACCTTTTCCACGTTTTATGTTAGGAACATAAACTGAAGTTTTTTCATAATCATCTGTCATATCACAACATGCAGGGACAGAAAAATACTCAACAAACAGGAAATGCAGCGCCAACATCTAATGCTGGGAAACTGAAACAGCTTTCAAAAGTAGCTGAAATATGAAAGAGCACATTTGCTAAATTAGGCAGTAAGAAGYTGAAATGATCGRAATAAGGTGAAATTAGCTTTAAAAATGTAGCTAAAAACACAATAAACAGCTGAAAGTAGCAGAAAGCAGCTAAAAGAAGAACAAGTTTAAATTAGCAGAAAAATAACACAAAAGGTCAGAAAGATGGCTAAAAAAGCAAACAAAAAGCTAAAATCAGCTAAATAGAAGCTGAAACTTGTAAAGTATTTAAAACAAACAGAACCAGACTTCCRGTTAYGGCRCTGAGGTGAGCAGAGGCATTGAACCAGAGCTCCCAACTTGGTCGGCTAAATCCCCTTTGCCAGAGCTGAATTAACCMACTAAGACYGACTATTTTATGATGAAAAGGGGAAAAGCATCAAAAAGTAACGGGAAATCAAAACAGACAGAAGAAACGRGCRAGAGAACTTCATTACTCGATGAAAGCACATCAGACCAGCACATGGCTATGGAAGGGCTTCAAGCTAGCATCGGAGATATCCACAAAGAGATCGTAGCTATCCGTAAAGACATGAAGGAGGTGCTGTGCTGCTTTCGTGATGACGTCACCGCCGACATGAAGAGAGATTTAAGAAGTTTTCAAGAGGAGATTAATGGAAAACTATATGAAGTCGTGTCGGACATAAAAGAGAATCAAAAGAGAACGGAGGAGTCTTTACAACGTGTGGCAGAAATGGAGGAGTGGACCGCAGCGGYGAAAGAGGTGCTGCCTCAAACTATTAACAACCAAGATAAAATTCAAGYCAARCTGACTGATCTAGAAGCAYGCTCACGAAGAAATAATATCCGTGTGTACGAGATTACAGAAGATACAGAGGGAGATAATCTGCTGGAATTTATGGATGGTTTCATTAAGGCTGAGCTGTCACTCCCAAGATATCGACCTGGCTATACAACGCTGCCAGCGGGCTTTGGCTCCCAAACCACCGCAGAATGCGAGCCCCCGCTCCGTGGTGGTCTCCTTTCTGGCATTTAGAACCAGGGATTTTGTGCTTCGCACCACGTGGAAGAAAAGAGAAATTCGCCTCAACCAGCAGCAGGTTTATTTCGATCAGGACTATCCGGCAGAGACTCAAAAGAAGAGGAAAGCTTACGCCCCTGTCAACAAACTTCTGAAAGAAAAAGGTCTCTGCTTCCAAACCTCACTGCTGGCTAAGCTCTGTCTGTTTTTTGATGGTGGCCCGATCACGTATAGCACTGCGGCGGACGCCATGAAGGATCTGCAGAAGAGGGGTCTCGCGCCTGACTGCACTACTAGCAACGATGGTTCCCACACGGCAGCACAGATGGAGAAGTTGGACAGACTGTCCTGGGTGACGAAGGAGGCCAAACGAAGTAACCCCGACGTACACGGAGAGAGAGCATGGAAAAAACTCAGTGGATTTCGTCATGAGGCTGGAGACGCTGCCGCTTCTCCAAACGTGCCTCTCGTTTAAACTCATGTGGTAAGATAAACAATCACAGTGATCTGATCCAGCGTGTGGACTAAGAACTGAACATTTTCCTATAGAGACACTGAGTCAGACACCATTATAACAACCCTTAAGTTAACCTTCGCTAATGTTAATAAGAAACGTTACTGATTTAAAAGTAGATAATACCTGACTGTTGTTTGGGAGCCGGTTTAAAGGCTCTGATTGTGTACTGAGCTTACACTCGTACCGAGCTAGGTCAGTTAGCACTGGAGAGACCCCCCATGAGAAGAGCCTCATGGGGGCGTTTCTCTTCATCAAGGACTCCTTGAGTCGTTTTGTGTTGGAAGTCGTTCCTTTTGTACTTTTTCAATTTCCAGGTTCTATGTTTTTGAGTTTTGTAAATGTTTCATTGTTAAGGTCACCTTGGATGTGTAAGTTAGAGGGATTTATTCATTTAAAGATTTATGTTCCAACAACCATTTAAATTTATAACTGTTAATGTACACGGGTTACAGAATCCAATTAAAAGAGGAAAGCTTATGATGAAGAGAGAACAGCAACAAATAATCTTCTGGTAAGAAACCCATTTAACAAACGAGAACCATGAAAATAATTTAAAAAAGGGTTTTAAAAAGACATTTTATTCCTCCCACTCAAATGGACTCTCTAGGGGCGTGGCAATATTAATTGCAAATAATGTGGACTTTCAGGTATCCANGTACAAACTAATACACTATCAGAGTTTTATATATTTATACTTCTCATTCAACCACAGTTAAATTCACTCTATCTAGGAGGCTCAGTTTATATGGATAGTTTTTATTTTTTACAACAACAAGCTGCAATGAAAACAAGCAGAAATGAAATAAAGGTAACAACTTTCTACTTCTTGTCTTTTTATAAAATGTAAGAAGTAAAAAGTAGGCTGAAAAATAATTACCCAAGTAAAGTACAGATACCCAAAAATTCTACTTTAGTACAGTAACAAAGTATTTGTACTTAGTTACTTTACAGCTCTGGTTAATTCATAGCTTATTAAGTCTGAACCATCCTTAATTTATGATGTTTTAAAGGTTAAGTAACCCTTTATTAATGATTAATTAAGGCTAAATAAGGTGTCGTTATTATGAAGTTTTACCAAAATGCCATTAAAGTCCAGGTTTTAGGACAACAAAAGGAGAAAACACTACGGGGGTGAATACGTTTACGACCCAGTTGTCCATAAATAGGTCTCCAGGGTCCAGTTCCACTGAGTCCAGGAGGTAAAGCGTGGTTCTGTTGGACCCGGCTGCAGCTCGGTGAACTTTCCCTCCCTGTGAGGGAATGTGTGAGCTGTCATCACGARCTGCTTGATGAGGGGAAACGATCAAAGCCTCAGGTTGAGTAGGAGGGCTGTGCTGCGTCAGCTTCACAGTTCCTCTCAGGGTGAGCTCTGGAAACTGGGTCGGGACTTCTCCAGGGTCTGAACGGACAGTTTCACTTAATATCCAATGAAGTTCRTTGTGTCTACATGATAAATCTTAAAGTTTTTCTTAGTTACTAGACACTTTGTTATACAAGCTCTGTAAAACAAGCTCGTTTAAAAACCTCATCGTTCTGCCAGCAGACAGGTCCGAAACACAAACCAGGGCTTGGTTTGGATCTTCAGCAGTTCAKTTTGTGGTTTTGATGCCAGTCCTGAACAAGACGTTCCATAAAATCAGGCCACCTTCAGTGCAGCTCGACGTTTCGTTTCCGATCAAACTGACTTCTCATCAGAACCCGGTGGTTGCGTGCCAACGTTTGTCAGATCTTCTTCAGGTCGAAGCTTCTGACTCCTGACAGTTTGAGCCACGCTGCAGTAAATAAAAGGGAATTTTCCGAYTCTTTATGTCTAAAACTCATCAGACCTCATGAATGAACGAGTTTTCTGTTTGTCACGTGTTCTGGTCCAGGTCCAGGATCTGAGGCATCAGGCTCAGTCGCACCGCCACCGAGCCTGGGGAACCAACTTCTGCAGGGACCACCTGAACCAGCTGCTGTCCGAACACACAGCCCTGTGGGAGCCCACCGACACCACGGACACCGAGACCCCCACCCRCCGCCTCACCCTCGACCTATCGCCCGAAGCGGACCGCGGCACTTCCTGCGTGGAGGCCCTGGACCTGTCCAGGTGAGAGGATGAGGAGGGGGACAGGTGCCTGATCTGAGACTGACCTGAGGTTTCTGTCTCCTGCAGTAACTCCAGTAGGAGGTCGTGTTCCGTCGCTGGTTCTGGAGGATCGGGTCACGCTCACAAGAAAACTGGTCCAGGTTCTCCGGCGGAGCGGCGAACAGCCTGGGCAGAAGAAGAAGAAGAAACAACAGCTGAGTACGTTTATCTTCTTAGGCACTTTGGAGACACATCAGGCTTCTAAATCCTTCTGATAAACTGGAACTGGTTCCTGTAGCTCCACAAGCAACTCATTTTGATGCTGTCTCTTTAAATACAATTAATACAAATTGAGCACTTCAAACCCCGCCCCCTTCACACCATTCAAACATTTTTGTAGTTTAATAAAAAGCTGTCCTTCAAAAGACCCGGACTACCCGGTCTACCTGGTCTACGTGGTCCGGTCTAGCCTTTACCCCATGTCCTGTCGCCTAGCAAAAACGACGGCGCTAAACAGAAGTAATGATAAATTAGCAAAATATTCATATTATTATTATAACCTAACAAAGTGAGCTTAGAGGCCTGCAATGCATCTTGGGATAGGGTGGGCTGAGAGGCTCCTCCCCCTCATCTGTGGGCCACAATCAGAGGAGTGTTTGAATTTAAAGGGATCCATGATTATTTGTAACATTAGACTTTATTTGTTAAACATTTATTTTAACAGTAAAATAAAGCCTGTAAAAATACTTAGCCTGTTAGCCTTAGTGCTGACGCTATATTACCTTATATGTATTAGCTCAGCGCTAGCGCGACAAACAAGCTAAACTGAGGTCCTCCATCCATATTTTCAGTTACAGACAGTCATTTTTGTGTTCCCCTCTCTGTCATGTGGATGGAGGACCTCAGTGACGAGAGGAGAATGTGTAGCACTGAGTTAATACATATATATGGTGATAGCAT